TGTAACATGACCTTGTTTTTATGCACAATGGAATACATTATTATAATAATTTGTGCATCCCATTTTATTATTATTTTTTTTTATTTTTTGGGGGGATTTCTAAATAATTGCATGGGGAATTACAGGATATGTGAGAGCATAATAGCATTTATGGATAAACCTGTATTATAATTTAGAAGCGCTGCAAAATGTCAAAATGTTACATATTCTGAAAGGTTATTTATCTAGAATATTGTATTCTAATTTGTAACTTTATTATTTCGTCAGTGATTTTCCATCAACAAAGATATCTGTTTTCTTTTGAAATGATGTGCTATACATGCATACTGAAACAGGAAATTAATTTACATATTACTTTCATCAAAGGGGCACTACAGTGTCAGGAACACAAACATGTATTCCTGACACGATAGTTCTAAAACCACCATTTAGGTGGTCGACTCCCCTTACCTCGGGTTAAAAAAGATGATTTAACTTTCCTCACATCTGGCCCCACCCCTAATACACCTCCTTTGCTGACATAATCAGAATTGACAATCTCAGCCAATTACAATGCTTTCTCATAGGCCCTGGCCGACCAGCATCTCCTCATAGAGATGCATGGAATCAATGCTTCTCAATTGGGAAAGTTCAGCGATTCAATGCAGAGAGTGGAGACACTGGACATGCAGCACTGTCCATGAAGTACCTATAGTGGCTGACTGAGGAGTGGCTACTGGAGCTGTTCTCTGAAAAGACTGTTTACATTAAAAAGCCTGCAGGGACATACTATATTCACAAGAACAACTGCAATAAGTATATGATGGTCATTTTTGGCTTGGTAATGACGTAATTAAAAGGTGAGCATTATGCCTCATGCAGACTTAAAATTTAATTCTTAAAAGTAAAATAAATAACATTCCCAGCTTCTACTGAGGGCTTACCCCAAGTTAAAGGAACACTTTAGCATTAGAATACAAATGTGTATGTAGGTGTAGGTAAAGGCCTCATTTAGTCCCTTAGGACTCAAGGTTTCTAATCTGTAGATCCAGTAGCACTCCCTGCATTATTATTTACATACTGGTAATATCTTTAAGATGTTGCATCCACCCGTACTATTCTATCAGGATGCATTCAAATAACCATTATCAGAGTATTTATTTATTTCTGTCCCACCTACTGTAAATAGCAAAAATAAATTATATTTCTCCTTGTATGCTAATACTTCAGATCCAGCCTGGAATAATTAGAAACCATACAATGTCTAAAGCAATCTTGTCTTCTTTGTCTACAAAAGATAAATACATTTAATTAAAAATATTACATTTGTACACTATTTAAAAATATATATATTTATTTAAATAATAATGACATAGATACATGCAATAATACTGAAAGTAATCGTCAAAGATATCCAAAACAGACATAAATTAAGAAGGGTAATCAGTTACATAACCTAGTACACCAGTATATGAACTCTCTAATACAAATATATATACACCAAAAGTATTTTTATACAGCGCATTGTATAGCATCCAGTAACCATGACAAATGCAAATACTAAGCAGTTCAAACTCGGAACATACACAAATGTAACTTCTTCGTTAATGGTAGCATTAGTTATATATAATGCATAATGCTCATGTAAAATGAATTAATGTGTTTGGTAGACTTCAATAGTGGGTGATGCTGTAACAAATGACTGTTTTAAAATGAACAGTTTATTCCAGTTTCTCTCGCACATCTCTATAGCTATCTGATTCTCTGTCTTTGGTACACTACTACAATTTGCATTGATTCTATTTCTCACACTTGTTATCAATAAAGTTTAATCCTCTGCAATGCTACGAAATAGATTCCAAATAGCATAACTAGCAATCCCGAACTGCAATCTATACAGAAAAGTCTGTTTTTTTATACCTATACACCCATTATTTAAATAAATGTTATGCTGATTTGTTTTGTCTGTTTGTGAAACAGTTGGTATGCATTGGATTAATAAATTCTTTTTTTTTAAAGTTATTAAATAGAATTTTGTATATAAAAAGTGAACATTGCGTAACTGAAAAATCTTCTCTAAATCCAATCTTTTAGTTAAATGTGCACACATTATCACAGACACTATAAAGCATTTATGTAAAATTTTTAACACCTTACAAATCAGTAATTGTATAATTCCATTACAACAATCTAGATTTTAGAAAACAGTAACTAAAGTTGTCAATGGCAATGGGCATTTGGGTAGACAGATGAAGAAAATGGTAAGAACGCACACAATCAAGTCTGTTTAAGGGTTTCTCAAAATACTTGTTTCACAACAGTTATGCTTTTAAACTAAATTTATACCCCAACTGTTGGGGAAAGTAACAATATTTTTAAATATTAATCATAATAAAATAAAACTTTGGCCTTCTTACCCCTTAAAGGACCACTATAGTGCCTGGAAAACATACTCATTTTCCTGGCACTATAGTGCCCTGAGGGTGCCCTCACCCTCAGGGTCTCCCTCCCGCCCGGCTCTGGAAGGGGGAAAGGGGTAAAAACTTACCTTTTTCCAGCGCTGGGCGGGGAGCTCTCCTCCTCCGTTCCTCCCCGTCGGCTGAATGCGCATGCGCGGCAAGAGCTGCGCATGCATCCAGCCGGTCGCATAGGAAAGCATTCACAATGCTTTCCTATGGATGCTTGCGTGCTCTCACTGTGAAAATCACAGTGAGAAGCACGCAAGCGCCTCTAGCGGCTGTCAATGAGACAGCCGCTAGAGGCTTTGGGGGAAGGCTTAACCCATTCATAAACATAGCAGTTTCTCTCATTAAGCTGAAGTGGTCTGGGTGCCTAGAGTGGTCCTTTAAGGTCATGGAATGAGAAACACGTTATGTGACATGCTTACAGGAACAGGAACCCCTGTGACTAGAGAAAATCTATGAATTACCAGGAGCTCCACTAGCAATTAAGGCCTTTACTGTTAGGCTAGCTAGCACATAAATGCAGGACAAAACCACCTATTACGGGTATAGATTGTTGTTGTTGTTATTATTATTATTAGTCGTAGAAGTAGTAGTATTTATGTATCTCCAAAACATTTCATAGTGCATTACAATTAATTAGAGAAACGGGTGAGAAAGGCCTTGCTCAAATGAGTTTACAATATATGGTTACCATTCAAGGATAAGAAACAATTAGGTAAATTTACATACATTTTAATGTGTATATATATATATATATATATATATATATATACATACATATATTTATGTATGTATATATATATTATCTCAGAAATATTCTAAATTGTCATTTACAGTCCCTCTGTAGAGCTGGAGAGGGACAGACTGGAGCACTTGCAGATAAATGTTAAGTTGGGCTTTATGGGCTTTTGGGGTCTACACTAGCATATAGATTGTTGCAAGGGGGAAAGGGGAATAAAACGAATTATAGCTTAAACCCCTTAATGACAGGGGCAATTGTACAAGTTCTGACCAAAAGAAAACTTTGAATTTGAGATATATGTTCAACCATAATTCACCCCTTTTGTATTAAGTGCACCCACACTTATAATCAGAGTCGTAACTACAAACCATCAGGGCGAAAAATTGTTCTGGGCCCCCCTCATGTGCCTCATTCCCTCGCCCCAGGCCTCCCATCTATCTCATTCCTTTCCCCCTAGCCCAATAATGTGTCTCATTCTCCCCTGCAGCTCTTCCACGTGTCCCGTGCCCTCCTCCACCCAGCCCGTCCATGTGTCTCATACCCTCCTCCCCCCAGCCCCTCCATGTATCCTATTCTTCCCTCCAGTTGCCATTTCCTCCCTCGCTCCGAGCATGTGTCCAATTACTCCCTCTATTCCCCTCCCCTCACCTGTCCATGTGTCCCTTTTCTCCCTCTCTCCCCTCCATGTGTCCAATTCCTCCCTCCTGTACCTGATCAACACCGCCGTTGTTTTGACAGGATGTGCTCTCTCGGTGAGCACGGCCTGTCAGACCGCTCAGCCACACTACACACCCCTCTCCTCCTGCCAGACACCCGGGAACTGCGGACCCCGGGCTGATGCACCGGCCCAGAAGGTATGTTGTCAGCCCATAGCCACAGGGGTCTCCGTGACCCCTGCGACCATGGTAGGTACACCACTGCTTATAATATATAAAAAAAATTAATGAGAAATGCGGCTTTCATTTCATATGAAATATTTATAGATGAAACAATATAAAATAAATAAAATTTAAAAGAAAGTGTGAGAAATTAAGAAATGTTCTTATTTTCCAAGTTTTGCATGGCACTGTAACTGTTAATGTTATAATACTCATTGGCGGATTTAAATAAAATAAAAAAAAATATTATTTAAAAGCATTGCCCCACAAGCACTGTCCCCAATACAAACATACACACACACTGCCCCCATACACACACTGCCCCACAAACACTGTCCCAACACTGTCCCCCAGATTTACTGTCACACATGTATGCTAGATACAATGATGCCTCCCCCCATGTAGAGGTTTCATGGTGTTTTGGAAAATTACAGGGTGAATTAAAGAATTTTTACACATTAAAATTTGTGAGATTGGCTTGCTGGGCCTATGTTGCCTTTGAGACTGTATGGCAGCTAAGGAATGAAAATTACCTCCTTCATGACATACCATTTGCAAAAGTAGGCAACTCAGGGTATTTAAAATGAGGTATGTCCAGGGGGGCAGAGCTTGGACAGCGATGTGAGCGGTCGTATACCGTAGGAGCTCCCGCACAAGCCGACTATTTTCAGGGTAATACCTCCATTTCCAGCCTGAACCCTTGCACTCACACGCATAACCCTACCTGGGGGCCATATTGGACCATATTGATTCCACACTCGAGACCCTGAGACGCCGGGAGACCCCAGAGACAAGCCACGGCCTGCAGGTGACTGGGCTGGGGGAAAGGAAGCCAATTTCCCCACTCTCCTGGTTACTGGACGGAACAGCCTCACTCCTCCTCCCCCCCTGGATTGATAGGGGTTATCCCGGACTGGACTGTTTAAGCTACGTTCAATGGACGCTTACTTATACGCAACTAGAGCCCTCAAAATGGTGGATGAGCATCCTCCAGTGGAGCTGACTTTAATACCGACCAGCAGTTTTTCTGTGGAAAGCTCCCTGCAGAAACTGGAAGCAATCTCTACCAGGTTCTGGGCTAAACTGGAAGCACGAGCAGTAGCTTCACCTCCCCAACAAGAGAGCGTTGATCAGCAAGTCAACCCAGGTGAATCAGGAGGGCCCCCTCCGAGCACTGAAGGCAAGCAAGCTCCTGACCTTACACCCCTATACTTACCTGGGTCTAGGGCCATCCAGGGCTCAGCCCCACCACGTCCACCACATCAGCAACAGCCCACTGTCCACAAGATAGGGGCCGATCCCTACAGCCCATATGGGAGGGACTTGGTTCCTTTGCGCGACCAGGCCCATGGAATGGAGGCACCAGCCACCACACTGGCCCAGGCCTAGAGGGATACCCTCACTTAATGCCGTCCCAGCAGTCTCCCCAGCAAACTCTATGCCTGCTCACCAGTTCGACCAAGTGTGGGAATTGGATGAAGTCCTGACCACTATTGGGTAGTCTATCCATGATGGACTGGAACCATGAGGCTTGAGAAGCCGCCATTTTGTGCTGTATCACGCTGCTTATAAACCTGTTGTCTCCTAGTTTTGTTATATTTTTTTTTTCTCATTTTACCTGCTCTATGTGTCTCACAGACTCTGATTGCTGACCCAGTGGAAATTTAATCCAAGTCATATGTTTTATAAGCTTGACATTCACTCACAAGCAATGCCAATTATTCTGTTTACTTATGCCTTAGCATGATTATTCTAAATATGTGCAGTACTAGAATGTGCCACTGCTGTCTCTTGTGAAATGCTTGATATAGCTATTGTAGCATGTCACACTTGCCTGTAATCCTACTGCACTACAAAAATAAAGAATAAAAAAAATAAAAAAATGGGGTATGTCCGGTCTTTTTTAGTAGCCTTTTTTTAGTAGCCTTTTTTTTAGTCTTTTTTAGTAGCCACTGACCAAAGTTAGCGTTCATATTTGCTTTCTGCATTTTTCAAACAAAATCTGCTCTTCACAAATGATATCATCATCATTATACATTTTACTGCTCTAAAACACTAATATTGTTGTTTAGTAGTGATGTCCCGAACGCTTCGCCGAACGGTTCGCGAACGGTTCACCAAGAACGGTTCGCCACGGACTCATCATTGAGTAAACTTTGACCCTTTACCTCACAGTCAGCAGACACATTCCAGCCAATCAGCAGCAGACCCTCACTCCCAGACCCTCCCACCTCCTGGACAGCTCACTAAGAATGCAGCTTCACAATGAACGTAAAATGGATGCTGTCCAGGAGGTGGGAGGGTGTGGGAGGGAGGGTCTGCTGCTGATTGGCTGGAATGTGTCTGCTGACTGTGAGGGCGTGGCTTCACAAGGCTCCTGGCGCTGGAACCAGGTGAGTAAACTACTCTGTCTGGAGAGTCCCTTTAAGTTCAGCTGAAATGGAAGTGTCTGGTAAATCAGATATGTATAAAATTCAAGACACCAATTGGGATTAGCCAAATTAATTATTTATGCACACAGATGTAATCAGGGTTCGCCCGGATTCAGCTGGGGTTCACCCTAACTGAAAGTACATGAGAACATAAAAGTGGATTTTATCCACTAAATGGTTATGGGGGGTTAGCCACAGTATATAATCAAAAGAAAAATGGGGTCACCACTTATGCACTTTTAAATCAGTAAAATAAAGCAGACAATAGATGATTAGCACATATTTAGCTGTAAAGACAGGGTAAGGTAGGGGTCGCCCACAACAGAGATTGTAAAATCACAGTGGGGGTCACCCACATAGATGCAATCAAAATCACAATGGGGGTCACCCACACGTAGATGCAGTCAAAATAGAGATCTTTAATAAGTTTAAAGAATCACTATAGGCAGTGGCGTACACACAATCCATGGGGCCCCGCGGCAAAACTGATCCATGCGCCTCCCCTCTCCCCCGACAGATACACACACATACAGAGACACATACATACAGACACATACATACAGACACACACACACACACATACATACATGCCCCCGGTCACTCCTCCCCTTGTGAAGCCGCGCCGCACATGTGCACATACTTCATAGGGCGGCATTCATGCCGCCCTCTGAAGTCCTGAGCGCACTACGGCGCATGCGCGCGGTGTGCGCGCCCGCGAGCTCACTGACAGCTCAGCTCACGGTCTTTGCCGCCCCCTCTCCTCTGCTGACAGGCAGGAGAGAGAAGGCGCACACACAGTGCCTTCTCTCTCCTGCACAAGTCAGACGTATCTTAATACGTCTGACGTGTACAAGGCCTTTTTAGGGCCCTACATGACAGGAAGTCCCTCTGGTGGCCGTCTGAATGACGGCCACTGGAGGTATTCCAATCGATCAATGTAAACACTGTATTTTTTCTGAAAATACAGTGTTTACATTAGATTGCCTGCAGGGAGCTATAGATCTCACCTGAACAAATACATTAAGCTGTAATTGTTCAGGTGACTATAGTGTCCCTTTAATGCCCTTAAGGACACATGACCTGTGACATGTTATGATTCCCTTTTATTCCAGAAGTTTGGTCCTTAAGAGGTTAAAGCCTGGCTTTTCTCTGCCATTGCAGAGTCGATTCCCAAGGCCCTAGCTGCTCTGCAACAACAGCCCAACCCGGCTCCCAAGCCCACATTGCAGCACCTTTCTGACTCTGAGGAGTCTATTACTCCTTCTGATCATGAAGGGGCACCTCGCAAACGACCCTGGAAGGGCGACAGCGCATCAGCTGGTAAGGGCAAAGCGCCGGCTAAAACCTGTAGATTGGGTCATGTTCCCCTCACAGGCCTGCAACAACTAGACCCTTTAGAGCAGGCTTCCCCAAACTCCGGCCCTCCAGATGTTGCTGAACTACAACTCCCATGATGATTCTCAGCCTATCTATTTCATTCATAGAATCAAGGGAGTTGTAGTTCAGCAACATCTAGAGGGCCGGAGTTTGGGGAAGCCTGCTTTAGAGGGTTTAACTTCACATGATCTACAGGTCATAGATGAATATAATGCGAGTTACTCTGATAATGATGATGATGTACCCTTCAATAAGAGGGCTAATGCTTCCTCACAATATGTTATAGAAACTATAATTGGTCAGTCACAAAACTCCACTACCAACTCTCAGCAAGATCAGTCCTCTGATACCCTACTGGACTCCCAGGGTCTTCCTTTCTTTGATTCAAGACTGATCAAACACCCTTGCTCCACCTGAGCTTATTGCCCAATTTTGCAGGCTATGGCTTTGCAAACCTCTGGATAAAGAGGTTAGAAATAAGCTCGGAGCCGTATGTCCCCACCCAATTATTATTATGGGACTCCTGGGCTCCCAGAACTCGACGTTCCTACATCTCCGCTTGGCAGATTTGGACTAGCTTGTGTCTGGAAAGGGATATTGATCCCTTTTCATCCTCTATCGCTGACGTCATGAATTTCTTATCCTCACTCTTTGGCCAAGGCAAGTCCTATCGAAGATCAACCTCTGTCGCTCCACTATCTGTGGGCAGCACTCCTCAGTCTGCAGACTATTGCTTGGTATCCGACTCGCCAGGCTTCCTGCACCTCGATATTCCCAATTTTGGGATGTGTCATCGGTTTTTTCATTTTTAGAAACTCGGAACTCACTCTACGGCAACTTTCTGCTAAACTTGCCCTACTCCTTTGCTTGGTTTCCTTCCAGAGAGTTTCTAATATCAAAGCCTCTGATGTCCATGCTCTCATTTTCATGCCCAAGGGTGTTCGTTTTAGCATCTACCGTGGGACTAAGACCCTCTCATTCTTTCTTGTTCTTTCCGTATTTTCCAGATAGACTATCCCTATGTTAGGCATGTTGTTTACGCCACTATGTATTGCTAACTACCCCACTTCAGCCTCCTTCGGGACCTCTCTTGATCTCCCATGTTCGTCCACATCGACCAGTGCCGAGTCCTACAAACGCTCATTGGATTCGATGGCTCCTTGGTCTTGCTGGTGTCGATATTTCCTTTGGTGCACATTCCGTTTGCGGTGCGGCGGTTTCTTCTGCCTTTCTCGCAGGAGGTGCCCTTTCAGATATTTTGGTCTCTGTAGATTGGTCTAGAGTAGCTACTTTCCATACCTTCTATTTTCGTCCTGGTTCTCATGTACTTTTTCCTCTGATTTCTAGACATTAAAACAGCAAATTTGAAGCCTCCTGTCTTGCCATAAAAGTAGGGATTATTCTAGTGTTTAATGATCGAATAATCAAAATTTTATTAAAGACAGGAAACAAATATTTCCCATCCTTCTTTTCCCTCCCTAACTACTTGGAGGGTGGTAACTCTGTTTTGTTTTTCAGGTGGACTTTAATTTATCTTCTCAGATTTTTCTTCTAGGGCTAGGTTTATCTCCTGTGATTCTGGAAACATCCAGCAGATTGTGTCTGATATTTAGTGCTTATATACTGTTTTTGAATTTTGCTTGTCTTACGTGATTGCCACTGTTATTAGACACCATACTTTCACAATATTTATTTTTCCTTTCAGTGTGAAGATTCTTCATTATCCCTCTGGAGGTCCTTCTGCTCCAACTGATCTTGTTTTTTTCCTGGTTTACATGGTTGAGGACATTATTTACATTTACAGGGTTGACTTCATTTGGTGCGGCCACATCATAGAAAGAGGAAGTGGGAGGAGAATCAGCATCTGTTATAATATGATATCTACTCTGTGATTGGTTGATTTTATTTTTTACATTGTTAACCATTTTACTAATTATAACGTGGAGGATCTAACTGATATTCCAGGCAGTCCCCCTACAGACAGAATTGAAAACTGCAGTTCTGAGTCATGTGATTGGGGTGTCATTGTGATTATATGATGTGAATGGGCAGGATTTGCCGGAGGGGCATTGCCTGGGTTATCCCCCTGATTGCGATAGTAAAAGAAGGCAAGTATTCTTGCTTTAGGTGTCTGGAGTGTCCCTTTAAGACTGCCTCTAGTTTCTGTCTAGTTTCTGTCTAGCAGACAGCCACTAGAGTCACTTCCTACTGTTTCATGGAATTAAGCTTGCTGCTTCTTCCTTGAAATAGTATAAGACACTGTCCACTGTATTGGCAAGTCTTTTATATATTTAAATTGTGTGACATCATGCTTTCCATTAAAGTGACCATCGCATCTAGGTGATCCCATATATTATCAGTTTGAAGTTGGAGAGATAACATGGACAAATCAGAAAGTGTGTTAACCTTTTTCCCTTTATTGGCAACTTCTTACTTGACCTAATAAAATCAAATTTAGTGGCTACCCCCTAACCATCAATAATTTGCACAGGAGCTCGAGTCCATATCTTTAGGTACATCTATATTGATGTCTATCATAGAAAACAAAGCTCATATGCACCTCTATCCCCTCCCAAACAA